GGGCCCCTGAGAGCCGCAGCCAAACGCTGCCACCGAGCCGGAACGCGGGCCAGCGACAGCCTCGGGATTTCCACAGCATGCTCGCTGATGCTGTTTCATTTCACCATGAGCCGGGTGGGCGGCAGCCGCTGGCTGCTAGCCTGGGGGAAACTCTGCGGGCGCCTGTTAGGTCGCCACCTGCTGCCACCTCCCTGCCCTCCCCGTGTCCTCGCCGCCACCGCTCGGCCCCAGTACCCGCAGGAACCGAGGCTCCCGGCTGGGGCGGCAGCCCTGGTCTCTGACGGTCAGTGGCTCTCTCCCAGGCCTCGGGGGACTGGAGGACACAGGCGTCCCAGAGACCCTGAGGCAGCTCCTCCCTGCAGCAGCAGGGCAGTGGGCAGTGGGCAGGGAGCCGGAACCAGTTCCTGGCGTTTCCCTAGTCCTCGCTCTACTGCCCTGTCCTCCAATTCTACTTTCTGAGCCTATTTATTTTTGCAGTACTGTCCGTTGAACTCAGCACCTGCACACTGAGCTACATCCCCAGCGCTTTTAAAAACTTTGGTGGGGCCCCAGGGATGTAGCTCAGTGGCGCCACCGCCTGCCTCACTAGCGCAAGGTCCAGAGTTTGATCCCTGGTACCAAAAAAAGGAAAAAAAAAAATTTTTTTTTTTTGTACTCTGAGACAACGTCTTGCTAAATCGCTAAACTGTCCAAGCTGGGATCACACTCGCAATCCTCCCGCCTCAGCCTCCTAGAGTGCCAGGATCATAGGTGTGCACCACCACACCTAGCTCTCTTTCAGAATGCCTTATTCTCCAAAATGAAGCAACCTCGAAGCAGAATCTGTGGCACTACAGCCTGGTGGCTAAAGACCTCAGCCCTAGAGCCAGGCTGCCAGGGTTCAGATCCCTTCTCCTTGGTGGCCGTGTGGTCTCTTAAACTCTCTGTGCTTCAGTTTCTGCCTCTGTAAAATGAGGACCCAGCCCATTACTCTAATACGCCAGGTAATTAGCCAATACCTGTACACAGCATGTGTGGCCCAGGGTGACTGCTCAGTTAAGCGAGGCCGAGAGTTTTCTAGGGTCACCTAGGGTCACCGGCAGAGACTTCACAACAGCCTGGGGCAGAAAGGGTGGTGAGCACCCAGGGGCCTTTCAGGAAGCCAAATCAAGAGATTTGCAAATATGTAAAGCAAAGTCACTCTTATTAAAGAACCTGCACTCTGGAAAATACATTTTTCATGAAATATGTTATTTATGCTAACCTGTAATATGTTATCTTGGATGAATATATTGTAGGAGACGTCTCTGCCCAGGACTAGCGGGCTGAGTGGCCTCTGCTCCTTGCCTTCCCCAATCCGGCTGTATGGTTTTATGTCAGGAGTTAGACCCAAACTCTGTGTGACTTCGGTGGGTGCATCAGCCGGTAGACAGGGTGGGTGCAGCCCCTCCCTCAGTGGCTGCCACGGAAACCCAGGCCCTGGTCTGGGAAGTGGCCAGACTCTGATGAGTTACGTGCTGCTGAGGTCAGTGTGACCTCAGTTAAAACCCTGTCCCCTGAATTCTGGCTTTTCACCGCCCCAATGGGTTGCACGCTAATTGTCCCGGTCCCAGGACCGGGTTTGCTCCATCCAAGCAAGACAATCAGTGACAGCTCCGTCACAGCCCTGCTGGGCGCCACCGCCACTTTGCGAGGTGCTCGGCAGTATCTCACTAGACGCCTTCACAGCGTACATGGCTCCCATCCCCTCCCACAACTGTGATAAGTAAACAGCGGACGCCTTGTGCTGTGGTGGCTCACAGACCAGGACCCACGGTGGGCCTTCCTCTCCCCTTCCCTCTCCCTCCGTGTTCTGTGGTGGATGCTCACGGGTGCCGGTGGACAGGAGCGCTGACGCGGGAAGTCTGAAAGTCTTTCTCCTCCTCACCTCCTGCCTGCCCCTGTGCCGTCCTGTCCCCTCCTCTCCTCCCGGCCCCACACCTGCCCTCCTGAGGTTCCCCACTGACCTGTGGGGCCCTCGAGCCTGGCTGGTTTGGGGAATGCACCTGGATCAGAATCAGGCTGACCTGGATCCGAACCATGACTCTGTTTCCTACTGTCCTGCAGAGCTGACTCAGCCTCTCCAGGTCGGCACGGAGCACCCAGGACGCTGTCAGGAGCAGGGGTGCACCACGGGAGCCCCATTCCCGGGCAATGGCCAGCATCATTCCCTCGGTTCCTCATCATCGGTTGCGGTCGGGTCTCCTGAGCCCCTTGCTGTGTGCTCAGCCACCCCGAAGCTGGCCTGGCTTCCTGCTCTGCCACATTCTTGCAGGCAGAGCAAAAGCAGGGGCAGCCTCCAGCTTGCTAGTGTGCACGCACACGCACACGCACGCACGCGTGCACACACAGGCTCTCTCACTCCCTCCACTCCACACTACCCCAGAGACAAAAGTTAAAAATGACAACCAAATGTCAAGCACCCAAGACTGAAAGGCCCCTGCGTCAGCAGCGCTGGTGCCAAAGCATCCTGGGCTCAAGGACGCACGGACTGTGACTGCCCTGGCCCAGGGCCGTGTTCCTGGCCGCCCTGGCGTCCAGCTGCTCCGGGTGCCAAGAGGCCCCTCTGTCTGGCTCTAGTGGACAGGACTCCCCGCCGGCCCGGCCCTCCAGGGAATGGTGCGCCCTGTGTCACAGGAAGCTGCCCCAGCCCTGCCCCACACCCCCCAGGTCCTCCCTGGGGTCCCCCTGCCACTCACCCGACAGTTGCTCAGCTCCTCGGCAGCCAGGATGATGGTGCCACATTTCTTCCCTGGGATTCCGCTGGGAGACAAGAGCACAGCATGGAAAGGCGGCCACAGACGGACACCCCAGAGCTCCAGGAGCCCTCCCGGCCAGCTGGTCCGCCCCAGCGCCCCAGCAAGGACCGTGCCTTCCTTCTGAGAGCCACGGCAGTGTGCCTAGGATGCAGCTTCTTGGGCCACAGGGGCTCCCCGCCCCCTGCTCCCAGAGCCCACCGGGGAGGCAGTGCCTGCAGTGAAGTCCTAGAACCGCAAAAGCATCCAGACTCACCCGGAAGCTTCCGGACCAGTGGTTCTCAAACTTTCCATCCAAAGACCACTTCTGCGGGTAAAAGACCTTGTGGGCTGGCCACCCCACCCCCGCCCGGCGGATCCAGGGTCCCAGGTCCCCGAACAGTCCAGCCCCAGCTGCCATGACATATTAACAGCAGAAAGGAAAGTAGGGGTGCAGGCCTGGTGTCCTCTCGGGCCACCTCCCCAGAGCCCTCTGGCTGACAGAGCCCAGCCGGCCATGGAGCTCCACAGAGTGGGGCCACCAGGATGAGGACCACAGCCCTCCCTGCAGAGGAGCCCCTCTGGGTTCCACCCAGGCACCCCTCTCCACACTGCTCACCCACTGGTCCGCCAGTCACCCCACTCTGGTCCTTGGGACTAAGCTGGGGGAGGGGGGCCCCGGAGGGAGAGGAGGTTACAGTAACAGGCTGAGGGAGTTGTGTGGTCACAGCACGCTGTTCACTAACTTGCACACACAGTGCCATGCCCTGGGACACCAGTGTCTGCAGAATACGCTCTGAGAACCACTGATAGAGAGGCTGGGGGCAGCGGGTGGGGCAGGGTCGGGGGAGGAGCAGGGGCCACATCCGGAGCCTCTCGCACCAGGCAGGGGCACAGCCCTGGGCCACCTCCTGCCCTGGCCCTGCTCTGCAGTAGTAAAGACAGGACTGGGGAGGCCGGAGAGCGAATCCTCAACCGCAGCCTCCTCCGCCCCGTCTCTCCATCTGTTCCCCGCCACCGCCCCGTCCTCCTTCTATTTCTGATCTTTCTCTCCCTCCACTCCAGCCCGGCCTGCTCCCACCGCTCGCTCGGCCTTCCTCAGCCTCCTCCCTCCCTGCTGCCCTCCCGCTCCTGCCTCGGCTCTGCCTGGGCCCCTTCCCCACACCAGTAGGCCCGGTGGTCATAGGAGCAGGCGGGGCCACCGCAGATGCTGCCAGACGAGGAAGCCAGGGTGGGGGCGCTGCGGGGGGGCAGAGCGAGGGGAGGCGGGAGCCATGCGGGGCCCACACGCACGAAGCAGCCGAAAGCACACGGTCAGGGTGGGGGCCGGGCCACCCGGAGCCGGGGCAGAGTGAGGCTGCTCTGAGCCAGCCTGGACACAGTGAGGGCAGGGAGAGGGGCCCGGTGACCAACCGCCCCTGCTGTCTCCTGCCTGGGGCTGAGCTGGCCGGGCGGGATCAGGGCCTGGACCCAGGCTTGGGCGCCCTGTGCGGAGCTGGCTGAATACGGGAGGACCCCGGAGCCAGAGACAGCTGTGACCTACCCGCTGGACACGGCCGGCATGGGCTTGCCCGTCCTGGAGTTCAGGCTGAACGCTCCTATGCTGTGGGGAGAGGAAGAGAGAACGCCGGCTATGAGCAGGGCCCCGGGCCAGCCCCGGACCGGACAGGACCGAAAGCTACAGGCTGGGGGCAGGAGGGGCTCTTCCCCGGACTCCCAAGGCCCTGGGCATCTTATGTGGCACCAGAAATTCTCAAAGTGGGGTCCTCAGACCAGAAGCGCCAGCATCCCCTGGAAATTATGTCTCAGGCCTCCCTATTCCTGTCTGGGCCAGGAGCCCCTGGGGTGGGGCCTGCCCATCACTCCTGATGGCCCTGTGGCCTGCAGTAAGGACAGACCCCTGCGATGCTGGAGCCCCGTGACTCCGTGGGACTGGGAGACTGCTGAATGACCCGAGATGACAGAGTGACGGTCATTCCCCCCACACACACCACGGCGCCATTCCTATGTTGCAGTCCAAACCTGGATACCTCAAAATATGACCAGGCCTTTATGGAGGTCATGTGGGGGCCCTGATCCAGCATGACTTGTGGGACGGGCTGGGATTTGGTGCCATGGTTCCACTGCCTGCCTCGCAAACACAGGGGCCCAAGTTTGATCCCCGGTACCAAAAAAACCTTTTTTAAAATTAATTTTAAAAAGAGATGAGGACACAGGTACACATAAGAGGGACGCCAGGTATAGAAGACACAAGGAGCAAGCCGGGAATGACCATGCACGCTTGTGATCCCAGCACCCGGGAGGCTGAGGCAGGATCTGTGTGAGTTTGAGGCCAGCCTGGGCCACATAGTGAGACCCTGTCTCAAAAAAGAAAAAAAAAAATAAACGAAACCACAGAGGGAGGAGAAAGAAGCCACCCACAAGCAGCCAAGGAGAGGCCTCAGGAGATGACCCTGTCTACCTCTTAACCTTGAACTTCTAGCCTCCAGGGTTATAAGAAAATAAAAATGTCTGGTCTTTAAATCCCTCTACCCAGGGGGGCAGCTCTGGGACATCTGCGGACAGCACAGCCCTCACTGCGCATGTCCCTTCTGTAACATGATGTTTGTCCACAGCCTCCACCTGTGTGCTTTCAATCATCTCTAAATCATTCGTAATATCTAGTATGCGGTGAGGCCTATGCAAGTACTTGTTGCACTGTGCAGGGAACGACAACAGAAAAACGTCGGTACCTACTCAGTAGACACGATTGTGGAGATATTTTTGACCGGCAGTTGGCTGAATGCATGGATTCGGCATCCAGACACCGAAGGCTGACTTTACAGACTTCATAAACAGAACCCTAACCCTCGCGTCTAGCCCAGAATAGATGCCCAGTAAACAGGAGCTGCTCATAGGGTTTCAGTCACGACGCCAACTAAACTTAGAAGCAGGGAACCTCTGGTGGGGTAAAAGGTCCGCCTCCTCGGCCAGCCTCTCCTGTCTCCTTCAGCCCCGTGTCAGGTCTGGCGTGCCCGGGGAGGCCCCACACACCAGGCGGCCCACAAACCACCCCGGCGTGACGGGCCAGGCGGCAGCAGGCAGAAACAGGCCTGAGGGACTCGGGGCTCCCAACCCGGCAAGTGGGAACTGGGGAGACAGCCTCCCCGGGCATCTCTACAGGGCCATGGCCACCGAGGCGGGGAGGGCGAGGGAGGGCCTGCAGGAAAGACAGCCGCAAAATGAAAACGGCTAAGAAGCTGGGGTTGGTGGCACACGCTTGTAATCCCAGCTACCCTGGAGGCTGAGGCAGGAGGACTGCAAGTTCCAGGCCAGCCCAGGCAACTTGGCAAAACCCTGTCTCAATTAAAAAGGGCTGAGGATGTACCTCAGTGATTCTTGGGTTCAATCCTTAATACCGCTACCACCACTAAAATTTTTTTTAATTTAAAAAAATTTTAAAAAGAGGTTAAAGAGTGTTTGAGAGCAAGGGGCTAACAAATATGAATTTTATTGCTTTTATGTGAAGCGGTTCCCCAAAGTCTTTAAGCTTCACAGCTCACCAAACCTGAGTTTTCCTGTGCTCAGTAAAGGCTGGCCGTCACCATCGTTTCCTAGAAGCAGAGATGGGATTTGTCCAGGTCTCGGAGACCTTTGCAGGCCTCAGACATGACCACACTGTTACTGGGGGTCAGACAAGGGCCTAGGAGACTCCAGAAACACACGCACTGCGATCGCTGACCACCCTGAGGGACGCGGCCAGTGGGAACTCAGCAGGTGCCAGCAGGAGCTGATGCCAATCCAGCTGGACTCCTGTCCCCCTGCCCGGCCCTGGGGCCCCAACGCCTGTGCCATCTGCAGGATGTTCACGCTCGGGTCCTGCCCTGAGGCCACCTCTACCCCCTTGCTGGGTCTGACAGGCCGGGAAAGCCCCCCTCAGACTTGGGGTTCCTCATCCAGAGCAGGCTCAGAGTAGCAGTTCTGCTATAATAATCTGAGGAATATGCTTTTTCAGTCAGGTCCTGGGTTCAAATCCAAGCTCTCCCACCTCCCGCTACACAGGTTAGAAGAGCTGTAACTCACAGTGTGAGTCTCCCTGCTCCCTGCTACCCTGCAGATGCCCAGCGTGACCCCCACCTGCTCCGTCCCAGCCTCCCACTCCCGGGAGGAAGCCAGACAGCGTGCAGCCATTCACTTACGTGAGGGGCTTCTCCAGGCGACTCCCAGACGACCCTACGATCTCCCCAAGGGTGCAGAAGGCCTGGCCCAGGAAATCCTGCAAACCCCAGGCACAGACAAGGCCGGCGTCACCTCCTCTGCTCGTGCGCCCCCCACCCACCCCTGGTGGGGTCTGAGTGACACCGTGCGGCATTGGAAACCAGAGGCTGACTCAGAAAATGGCTTTAAGAAATGCTATGGAGGGCCGGGGATTTAGCTCAGTGCTTCTGCTGCCTGCCTCGAAAAAAGCACAAGGTCCCAAGTTCAACCCCCAGTACCAAAAAAAAAAAAAGAAACGCTATGGATGTGCAGGACGGGGCAGTCACGGAAGGACTCACGTGTTTGGACAGATCAGGGCTCTTGGAGTCAACATCGTACCTGCAGAGAACACAGAGACATGGGGAAGGCAGGCAGGACGCCCTGCTCAGCCCTGCCAGGTCCCCCAGGACAGCCAGGTCCCTCCCCTCCTCCTCAGCCACCAAGGCTGTGGCTGTGGCTGTGGCTCGGCCCACAGCTGCGAGGCACAGAGGGCGCCGCTGGGGTAGAGGTGGGAAATCAGGTCCTGCGGTGAACGCCTAGGACACGTGCCCCTCACGAGAGCCACCACCCCTCACTGCCCGCCTACCCCGCCCGCCCAGCCTTCCCCCCCGGCCCACCGTATTCCCAGGAAGGCCCAGCCCGTGAGCCCCTTCCCAGGTCGCCTTACCCAGGCTGTGTGCCTACCCTGGGCCTGCGCGCTCACCAAGGAGGGGGCACAGCCGCGCGCACCTCGGCAGCAGGCAGGCGGACCCCGGCCTCCACCCCAC